GCCAAACCATACAGGATTCTCTTATCTGCCCTGTCCTGAGAATATAATAATGATGGTGCACATCTCAGAGACCCTCTAATGTCTGAGTATCATCGTGTTTGAGGATTTGGAGGGTCTTTACAAGCACTTCAAAAGCAGTTCCCTCATCTTCTCCACTGGCAAACTTCTTGACAGTGTAGTCTATACACATCGTTTCTATCAGTCACTCCTTGACTTCTTCCTGTCTACATTGCTCAGGCACTGTGCTGGGCATTGCCCTACAAAGGTAGACATTTAGGAAACTGAGGCTCAGAAGGGTTAAGTAACTAGAGACAGATCTAGCTAGTGGTAGAGTCAGAATTCAAATTCAGATTTGTCAGGCTTAAAAGCTTGCCCCTTGCAAGTCACCATGCTGCTGCCCATAGATTATGAGTCACTAATGCATCGTATGTATTGCCTGTCAAGGTCCAGACTCACTCGTCCATGTCCTCAGCCTCCTTGCAGTAGATCATCTATCAAAGTGGAAGAAGCATTAGCAGTGTTGAGTTAATAAGCAGTATTTCCCAGAGTGGAGGCCACTTGGACATTTTAAGAAGCTATGGGATCTCCCTTACAGGTCATTCTCAAGGTTTTTGATTCACCACCAACAAAATCATCCCTTGGAATTCATTTGTGTCCTAACACAACTTGCCTTACTATTCAGAAAGCACTCTGACCTATGCATATGGAGTTACGGTATTGGGAAGTTCTCTAACTTTTACAGCCTTTTGTGACACTTAAATTTATGACTTATATGTGTATAAACACTTTTTAAAAGGCAATTTCCTTCTGATAGCAGCTACCTAATGGGGAGGAAAGACAAATTGATGCGTGATTGGTAATCATTAAAAAGTCAACACTCTCCCTTTATACACTCATTATAATTTTTTTTTTTGCATTTGAATAAATGACTTTCATGTGGATAAAGGCAAAGAAAAGGAAGCTTGTCTATATTACATTATTCTTAGAAGGAAATTTGATTCAAAGAATATGAGCAAATTGTAATTACTCTGGACTAACTTTCAGGGGTTAGAAATGTTTTTATTATACTGATTTGAGATGTTACCCAGACTTGTAGATTCTCATAAGAATGTTTCCTGCCATTGTCACACCAGTTCTTACTAGTACTACTACTAGTGTAGGCAATCTGAACATCTAGTGGCACGATCAAGAAAAAGAAATCAAAGGGATCATCAGCAAGTTGCTGAATGTAACTGATCACACACACTTCCTAATGAGTTGACCGCCAGACTGAATTCTGACCAGAAAATGTGCATTCAAGTCCAGGTAGACTCAGACTATGGCAGACTTGAAAATAACCATCTATTCTCTAAACTAGTCTTACCTTGTTCCAGACCCAAATACCCAAGGCATAGAAAGGTTTTATAGGTGTGAACTATTATGAGACATAAGATTCTCTCCACCACATTCTTTTTTCCCAGCTAACCACTGAGCAGCCTGAAATGTTACAGATCCAGAATCAGTGGTCTTCCTGGGGGGACATAAAAAGAGACCCAGAGCCAACTCTGGAGATGCCATGGAGCTATTTATAAGTGTAAAATCTTCTCATTACCCTCTTCCCCATGCTAAGCCCCTCATCATCTGGTTGACCTGAATCTAAGAGTAGTGAGTCTCCCAGCTGATGGGTGACTCATCATGTCATTTAAGTTTGTCAGTCAATGGAAACCAGAGCTTCAAAGTCTCTCTCCAGGACTATCCCTGGGGAAGCTATTAGGGAGAAGGCAGCCTTGCCAGATGTCTCAGTCCAGCTGGCCTAACTGGCATGTGTAGGGGCATCTGCTTATACTCAGGGCCTGGCATGAGGTGAGAGCCCTGGAAGAGTACTCTAGAAGCTTTGCTCTCAGTTTTCCTACCATCAGCTACTAACAAAGCCACAAGGAAACCAATTAGTACCTTGAAACATAAACAGGTAAAAAGACATTTAACTCTCCCATTTAAACTGGGAATGGGTTCACTCTGGGCCTAGTAGGCTGAACATCATGTAGTGGAAAGCACATTGCATTTGGGGAACAGAAAACGGATTCCCATCCCAAGCTGAACTTAGTTATATGAACTTAAATTTTTCAATAACCTCTCTCACACTTAGTGTCTTCATCTGTAAAATGGAAACAGACAAAGCTGGTTTTGTTCTACCTAGCCCTTGGGTAGCAATAAAGCATAAGAAAGCAATTTGTGAACCAGAAAGAAAATATCAGGTAAATTTTTTTGTTTCTTACCCTCAAATGTTTATTTCTCATCACAAGCCTCTCCCCTAAGTTCCGAGCACACATTTCCACCTATCTATTCCATAGGACACTCCAAATGGCTAATAGGTGTGTTAGACAACCACCCAGCCCTTCAGGCCACCAGATGATGCCCAGCATGACTAGAGATCTTGCCAAGCTGCCCCCTAGCTGCGGAAGCCTCCTCCAGTGTGCTAAACACTACTTTATAGGAAACTTCCAACAAATTATTTATCTGGACCTCAAACTGATTTTATCAAATAGCAATATATGCTCTTTCTCCAAAAGCTTGCTCTCCCTGCCTTCCCTTTTCTGTCAGTGATGATAATCTTCATGGGTGTATAGGCTTAATGCAGAGACCTCATCTTTGACATTTCTCTCCATGTCTCCCCCTTTCCCTTTCACATCCCATTAAACACCATTTTTCTTTTCCTTCTTGCATTTTGAAGTCTCACAGAGCCAGGGTTAAAACTAAGACCAGTCATATGAACTTAAGGAACTTTCCTCACCAGACTGACACTTGCTATCCTTATCTATGAAATGAGAATATGGAAGTTGCAGATTTGTTGTGAGGATTAAATAAGATTGTGTTGAACACTACATCAAAAACTAATGATGTACTCCATGTTGGCTAATTGAACATAAAACAAAAAAGATGGCGTGCCAAATGCATAGCACATGTTAGCTAAATTCTACCTTCTAGCTAAACTGGATGCCTCAGTGATGTCCAATATCACCCAGCCTCTCCACAAACCTACCTCCACATCTTCAGCCCTGTTGTTCACTTTGCCTGGACTATCCTCTCCCTCTTTCCCATTTCTGTCCACCATTCTTATATGCCTGCTTCTCAGACCATCTTTCAAACGCTATGTATATTTGGCATCTGGGAGTGACACCTACTTCCTTTGAACCATAAATGATTCTTGGGATTTATTTCTACAACTCACGAGACACTTGACATCACGGCTGTGTGCTCTGCTTTGGTACATGTCATCTCATAAACATTCATGTATATTTTCTCTACACATGCCATTTACTTAACAAATCACTTCTAAGTGTCTGAAAGGAATGATCAATCAATTAATAGATCATGATGTCTGCACCTGGCATGGGCAAATGGAAAGTAATTTGGAAGTGATGGTTGATTTAAACAAAGAATAAGACACCAAAGACTCTTCACATTTTCTGTGCTGATTTTTTAATGAACATCTTATAATCTTACAAAATAACTGGCTGTAGCTGTTTTACATTACAATACAGTAGATCAGCTCCTTTCACTGTGTTCCCAATCAAGCCATCCCCTTGGGGTGCTAACTGATGCACTTAATAGTGATCTTACAGAGGAGAGGAAGTGCCAAGTCCAATGTCTTGCAGTGGAGGCAAGGAAAGGAGAGAATCAAGAATAACTCTTCACTTTCACATACAGGTTTGCCTGCTGCCATTCTCCTTACTCTGTCCTCTCATCTCTCTGGTTGGAGACTGTCACACTAACCATTAGAGTCAGCTAGTCCTGGGCAACCTGGACAACCAGAGCCCCTGGTTACTAGGAAAAAAAAAAGAAGCAGAGAAGTGACTTTTGGAACAAAGAAGGGCTTTGTGGGAGAGGTCCTCCATGACCCCATGGATGGGTAAGAGCAGCCAAATACAGACCACCACATAGAGTGAGTGGGAGTTGATATCTCCTGGGAATCTGTGACCACGGTGTCTCTGTCCTTCCACTTTATTAGTGACATGAGAGCTCAACACCCTGGGCCCCAGGGACACTGGCTAGAAGAGCCCGCCATCTCTGAATGGCCCGACCTGATGAGGGCCAGGCAGCCTTCAGCCAGAAGGGCTTTCCACACACCACAGAAACTGCCCTCTTGCCTTTTCAGGGCAGAAGTGGATTGCAGATGTTGCCAATGGAGAATAAAATATTTGTAAATGAAGTATGACAGAGAAATGTTCTCACTGTTCCTTCTGTGAAGAGACTGAGCACAGACCCACACTGGTGTGAACCACAGGCTTGCAGCCTTGTGGAGGAGCTGTAGCCTTCCTGAGCTGGGCGATGCCCAAGATACCTATTCTGCTGCCTCAGTCTCAGACAAGCAGGATTCCCTGACAAAGAGCTTGATGCACTTCCAAGAATTTGGATACTCTCCCCAAGAAAACAATTTTACAACTTTGTAAAAAAAAAATGGAGGATCTAAACTTTTTCCACTGTCCTTTCCATATTGAAGCCTACTACAATCCTAGGAATATTTATTCTCTTTTTGGGGTACTAAATGTGAACCCAGACAATGAGAAGTAGGTATCTAGGTTTCCCTTATGGCTAGAAACATAGAGGACAAGGGTTTTTTGGATGGGCAATCTCTGCTACTTCCTTTCCCCAGTGATGGTGCCACCCTCATTTTATATCCCTAGAGATAAATATGTGTATACCCCTTTCTTTTTTTCCCATTCCAGAATATGGTTCTTTCCTCAAGATAGCAGTGGGGAATATTTCCTCTTCCTATTTGCAAAGCCATTGCTTCAGTGTTGGTGGGAAGAGTCGAAATCTTGTGGTCAGAGCCAAAGAGCAGATGATTCAGAGAGACCAAGGTTGCACTCTAATTTTGGCCTGTTCTTCGCTTCCACTGGAGAGGAAGCTCTGAGGGAGAAGCAAGCCTTCCAGCCCTCCTTGAGATAACAAACTGAAGTGTTGAGCAAGAAATTAACTCTCTTTCCCCAAGGCTTAATCCAGAAACTGTTACCAAAAACAACTGCAATAGACCATGTGCAAAAAGAGTAAGCCTGGGATGTAAATAGAGGCAGGTTAATGTGGTCATTTTACCCACAGTCCATCTATTGAACAAGAAAGGATAATGACAACAAAATGGACCCTAAATAAGTTGAAATTCTTCTCTCTTCCCACAGAGTGTCACCCTTGCTCCATGTGTTTCCATAGCCTGCTCAATCAAAAACTCTAGGTCATGGATATATGTTGTACTCGAATAGAATTTACCTCAGATCCTGCATTGCTTGAAGGATTCCCCTCCGATCTGTTCTGGAGACTTGGAACAAGCCCAAGTCTCTTTGACTCATTTCATCCTCCTGCCTGGGGCTCTAATTTACTCCTGGCCTCTCCCATCTCTATGGCCTCCTTTGGCTCCCCCATCTCTGCCTGTTCTTCTGTCTCCTCCCATTTTCTCCCTATGTCATGTCCATAACATTTTTTTCCCCAGATCAGCGATTGGTCATGTGTCTGTGAATGATAGCCAGGTTTGGGGACTCAGAAGGAGAGAGGGCACAGGCCAACCATGAGGAATGTGTGAGTTCCTGTAATCCTGGCAATCAGAGAACAAGCCCCAGTATAAACTTGCTCACTGACTGGAGGGTAAGAGCCACCCTTGGAACAGGCACATATGGGAATGTAGAGAATCCTGGGTCTCACTAACTCCAACTAAGAGTTCTGAGAAGTGAAAAGTAGTGAATATATTCTTTTTGGATAGATACACAAGAACCACAGTCTGGTTCTCCTGCCCCAGCACCAATAGGTACTCCCACCCAACTTGCCATGCCTCTTAATGTTATCATCCCAACCCTTCATCTCCTCAAACTGGGCCCAGCTTCCTGCTCATGAAAGATGATTAGCTGACATGTTCATATCAAGAACACCTAATTTCTCTCTCCCTCCCCTTCACCACTTCCCTTTCAACCTGCCAACCCCCATCAATAGAAAAATGGCAGAACAACTTTTCTTGCTGTCCTCAAACCCTCAGGATTCATTTTGGAAGTGAACTTCACAGCAGCAATATGTGGAACAATGTATAATTTTTAGCTTAGTAGACAGCAAAAAATATAATATATATAATAGATTTATATAATTATGTTTAAATACCTATAAAGAATTAATAACTAACCTCATTATTACTAAAGGAGACTACACGAAAGAAAGGGAGCCAGTTTAGAGTAGATGAGCCCTGAAAGATGGCAATCCATTCAAAATGGGTGTTAACAGAGTGTCCCTGGCAACTTCTCTTCTAGTATTTTGGTATTGGTTTACAAGTTGGGTGGGGCTGAATAGTTGGCGGGGTGCAGAGCGGGGAGTAGGGCAAGAGTTGAGGATGGGGTTGAATAGAATATAAATGGGGGAGGAGGGTCCTTGTATATCTATCATATTTCTCCTTCCACTTTTAATCAACTGCCTCTTTGAAGAAACTTTTGCCTGTGATTCTTCCCTACTTGGACTACCTGATGCAACAGTTGGCACCTATAAACATTCTCCTGCATGTCTGTAAGATCCTCATGCTCTTCCTCCTTCCTTCATTTCACAACATTTCTTCTTCATTCACCTTTTGTTTTCTGCTATGGAGGCCTCTCTTTCTTCCTGCCTCCAGGGCAGTGGAAGGAGGGGCTTGATCCCACAGTTACTGATTTTCTTCAGCCTTGGGGTCTCGGCAGGTGCATTCATCCAGGTCACAGTCAGCAGCAAATGGAATGACCTAGGGGAAATCAAAGAGAAGTTGAAATAACCCATTTTCTTGCCAAGCTTCATACTTTTCAACCAGCTTCTGCTTTTCTCACTTGGTCCCAGAGGAAGTGTGGGATTACTGTTAATATCACAGAACTGAAACGAACACTCAGTTCTTTCACTTACACATCATGTCTCTTTGAGCAAGGTAAATCTTCCTTGCTTCACTTTGTGTGTGTGTGTGTGTGTGTATACACACAAACATACAGTGGAAGGACAACAGTAACTACCCCAGAGGGTGTTAGTGTGATTTAAATAAAATGATGGATATAAAACACACATTTCCAGGCATCTATAACACCTGTCACTACTACTTCTAATATAATCACTAATGTCAAGAACCACTGCTAATGTTTTTGTTGCCATTATCCTCTTCACAAAATCCCTGTAAAGTAGATAAGATGGATGTTAGCATTTTCTTTTTATAGGGAAGGCCAAGAGAGATTGAATGACTTAACTTAAGGTCGTAACACTATCTGGAAAACCAAGGCTCTACAGCCTAGCTCTATGGCTCCTACTTCTTGGTGTTCTTGGAGCCATACGATCATCTCTGCCATCTTATAAGCATGAGGTTTTGCCCATCTTGAACCCAGGATGTACTCTGACTTGGTGAAACAATGCATCTCTCTACCCATTGTCTGTGGCCGGATTGCCTTCTTGCTATATAATTATCCCTACTCTGCACCAAAAATGATCCAGCAAAAGTTATTCTCTACCTGTTCGCACTACAGCACCAACAGACAAATATACTTTTTGAGTGTCCATAACTAGCTTCAGAGAGAATTGGGCATTTTGAGAGATATGATGTAAAAAGTTTTGGCAAGGATTCTACCCTTTGGGCATGGACAGTCTAGTGAGGTGAAAATAGATAGGCATAGCATTTAATCGTCCAAGCACACTGAAAAGATGGGCTTGGTGACTGGGCAAGGCAGTTGGAAAATGGGTGGTATTATTTGGGGAAATTTTCCAGCATATTTTCACATGTGAGATAAAATGTGATTTACAGGAATAAAGTGCTTTTTCTTTTTCTTTTTTTTTAAGATTTTATTTATTTATTTATTTGCAAGAGAGAGAGAGTAAGGGGAAGGGGCAGAAAGACAGAGAGAGAGAAAATGTCAATAGAATGCTTAGCATGGAGCCAATGTAGGGCTCAAACTCACAACCCTGAGATCACGATCTGAGCTGAAATCAAGAGTTGGATAGTCAACAAACTGAGCCACCCAGGTGCCCCATGAAGTGTTTTCAATCCTGATTCTAGTATATGCTGGCTATAGGCACTGAAATCCATTAAAGACAAACCCTAGATTTACTGAGTGTGAGATGGAGATGAGGCTAGAATTGCTTGCTTTCTTCTGAAGTGGTCATATTTTCCTGTGTAGAGATGGGATCCATGACCAGTTACCGTCTGTAAATGAGAACAATAACTAGTTGACATGATTTCTGACCTGTTTTCCAAGTTCTTGATCTGTTTCTTTTGGTTTGGGATTTATTAATTTTTAGAGCAAAAGAGGGCCAAATTGAACAGTGATCTGATAAGCCCCTGAGCATTCTGCATTAAATAAGTTAATTCACCTAAGTGGTGAGAACAGTGTCCAGCATATACTGAACAGTGAGTCATATCAGCCATTAGGTGCCATAGTACTCAAGTCTGTAGAGGAGATCACGTAGGTGTGACTTATTGTGAAGACATGTACAAGGAAAGAAATACTATCTCTTGCATATTTCTGATTCATCAAATTGGCCAGCTAGCATCAAGTATCTTTGGAGCACTTGGCTTTTTATCCGTATTAGAGCAAAATTTCAACCTATTCAATTTCACAGGTTTAGCTTGAGCATATCTGTCAATTTAATAGAGCCCAGAGAAATAGAGATAAAAGGAACTGAGAAAAAGATTACTGCTCAGGATATGGTCTAGGGAGTGCTCCAAGTAGCTTGTGGTAGCCATTCAACATAAACTTGAAATATGCTTATAATATACTACATAGGATTATTAATTTAATTATGAAGATTAATAATAATCAGACGTCACTTCTTTGGTAATTGTGCCTCCCCAGGGGGAAGAGGCCATAATTCTCTGCCAACAGAGGTGTATCCTGGACAATGATAAGCAGATGTGAGTCTTTGAGGAGCAAAAGCCATGGCTTTTCTGAAGGAGTTCCAGGACCAACTACTAGAGGACTAGTGTTTTCTAACAACCTCACCTAAAATCACTGCCTTTAATCCTGTCACCATAGAAGTGTCAATGTTTATTCATTATAAATCCCTCTTGACTACAGAGTAAAAATGATGCAGAATGAAGGAGAACCAGCCAAAGCCACTGCCTCTATTTCTGGAGCCCCTGCCCTGCCTGTTACCCGCAGGTATGCTCACTTACCTTCTTGGAGGAGAGCGTGGAAGAGCAGCAGTCTCCCCCATCATAGTGGCAGTAGGCCCGGTTGTTGATGGTATCACACCATCCATCTGCTTGGAAAGGCTGGTGAGGACATGAGAAGTCAGTGTCTAAGAACAGTTTCACTGGGCTTTGCACTACTCTCCTGCCCATCCCCACCATAATCCATGAAATTCAAGAGATATTAGGGGAGAGCACCCAAGGGGCAGGATACAAACTGACCTAACATTCTCAAAAAGTTGAGAAGTCTCAAGACCATTAGACCCAAGGATTTGTCAAATTTCACCTGCAACACCTGCTTCTGACCAACTCTAGGGTCCAGAATGGTTCATTTAAACCCCTTGGTCAACTTTTCACCTTCTTGTAATAATAGGTCTTTATATAAAGTAGGTTACCAAATATTTTCACACATTTTAACTCTGTTGATCCTCAGGAAAAGCCTGTGCTACAGGCAAGGTTGGCTTTAATGGAGATGCATAGAAATGACAAACACTGCCCTGGGTCACATAGCTAGGGTCAAGCAGACTTTGGGATTAGAACTCATGTATCTTGACTTTCTGCTGCCTCTCCTGAATTAAGAATCATAATTTCCACCCCTTCTCCTGGTACTTGTATTCAGGGACCCTGGTAGTCCTGGCATGCTATGAAGACTCAAATTTGTCTGTCCAGAATGCAGGGGTCCTAGGGTTTGGGACACCAGTGTTGGAACAGAAATAGTCTCACATGGGGCGCCTGGGTGGCTCAGTCGTTAAGCGTCTGCCTTCGGCTCAGGTCATGATCCCAGGGTCCTGGGATCGAGTCCCACATCGGGCTCCCTGCTCAGCAGGAAGCCTGCTTCTCGCTCTCCCACTCCCCCTGCTTGTGTTCCTGCTCTCGCTATCTCTCTCTCTGTCAAATAAATAAATAAAATCTTAAAAAAAAAAAAAAAGAAATAGTCTCACATGTACAGCTACCTAATGCACAGCAGCTAGACACAGGGTGAGAGCAGAGGAAGCTAAACTGTTTCCATTCATTCCTGTTACTGCTACAAGTTAACAGAAACCAAAATGGGAAAGGGGTCCAGCTAAACCAGAGTTTATGGAGTGTTTCTCCCCAAAAGGGAATGTATGATAAGAACAGCAACAAGCGGTTAAAAAATAGCTCAGAAGCCCAATGCATTGTTTCCCTAGAACCACTCCTGGAGAAAAACAGTGTCCCACAGCATCCTGGAGGGCATACCAGCCAGCCCACCTACTCAATCACATTGGCCGCTTCCCATCCTGAGTGGATACCCAATTGCGAAGCCTCAGGAAACGTCTTGTGGCAAAACTCTTTGGACCACAAGACAGTCAGTAGACTTTTGAGTTCTGAGGTCACCTTCCAGCTTTGCATGTTTAAATCACTCTCTCCCCCCACCCTCCTTAAATGTCAAATAGAGGGACTGTTCCCTATTTCACTGTGCTTTGATGAGATAGATAGATCACTAAGCTAAAAAAAAAAAAAGGCCATTAAATAATTTTCAGCAATTGAATTACATCAGAACGAGCTCATCCAAATTATTACTTCAATGTTTTGATTTATTCTATGGGGTCCTGAGGTCATTTGAACATCATTCCAGATATATACCAGGATTCCAGTCACTGAAAAGTTGCTACTTGTGGGGTGGAACTCAACAGCTGTTCCACAGCTGCACGGCAAAGGCAGTTGAGAGCAGGAAGTAAAAATGAATTTTGTTTTCAACACAGGCCTCACTGGGATAGAAGACAGAGATTTTGAGATGTGCATTTGTCTTTAACACCGGAGTGAGTGACTCTGGCTCTGCAGAACTGGGGATAACTATACAATCAGGACTTGGGGTTACAATTGCAGCCCAATAATAGGAGTCAAAATACAGCTAGCTACATCCTTAACATCCATAAATGCTCTCAGGTCCTCCCAGGAGGACCAGATACATCTACTGAGATCCACCCCCCCCACCCCCCCCACCGAGTTTTCTTTCTTCTTTTTCAAGTGTTTGGTGGAGTATATTTCCCTCCTCTAACACTGCATCTGTTACTTTTTCTCCAACCCTGACTGACTCATTGGCAAAACTTAATCTGTTCCTTCTTTATTTTTCATGTTATTGCCTATAAAAACCCAAAGAGCACCCAAAATACTTCACTTACGTGTAAAAAGTATGGTCTTCAGTATGGAGGATTAAAGTGAGAGCTTCCTTTTCGTAATAACAACTTAAACTTTTGAATGGATTAATAAAGGATCCAGGGGGATCTTTGTTTCCAAAGTCTACCCCAAGGATGGCTTCTCATCTTAGGAACACTAGGGAAGATAGGTTGAAAAGAGCAGAAATGGTCTAGGTGACCTTCTCCAGCTCCCAAGGGGCATCTACTGCAAGAGCCTGAACATGATTTCTAGAAACTGCTTCTTTTCTGCTCTTAAAGTGTCATCTGGGAAGAAAAGGGAATTTATAAAAAGGGGCAGAAAACCGGAGAAAAGGTTGGAAAGACCCGAGTGTTTAATTTACTATATACCTATTAGAATTAATTGTTCCTCCCCCAACCTGCCAAAAACAACTACTCCACCCTAAACAAACAGAGTCTCCTATGGCAACATGTGCCTGGGAAACTTGAGAGCTTGAGTCCAAAGTTACAATGGAAAAAATAGGAAGGGAAAAACGACTAATTGATCCAAAGTGTTTAAAGCATCTGAAGACTGAACATAGATTAGATCAAAATCCCCATAATGGAAAGGTGTCGGCCTGGGGACAGCACTCCTGCTGCAGGAAACTTCCCCCAAGGGGGGGTGCAAGGTTTCTCTGCACAGTGTGTCCAGAGGTGAATTTTTACTCCCCATACATATACCTCACTTATCCTGTAACATCTGTAAACAGAGTGCGTCATATAAGTGAGTTTTTCAAATACCTGTAGCCTATTTCTTAAGGAGACATGTTTTCATTTTCCATTTTAACCATTTTGATAAAAGAAAAAAAACATATAATATTCCTCTTATCCTGCCTTTTAATAAGTAATGGAATACAAAGTCATCAACATGAACATTTTTCTTTTTTTCTTTTTTTTAAAGATTTTATTTATTTATTTGAGAGAGAGAATGGGAGAAAGCACATGAGAGGGGGGAGGGTCAGAGGAAGAAGCAGACTCCCTGCCGAGCAGGGAGCCCGATGCAGGACTCGATCCAGGGACTCCAGGATCATGACCTGAGCCGAAGGCAGTCGCTTAACCAACTGAGCCACCCAGGCGCCCAACATGAACATTTTTCATTTTCATTTACAGGAAGACTCTCTGTATTGGGCTACTTACCCTTTCATTAAGTGAGCCTTCTCCAAAACACACACACACACACACACACATACTTTTCATGAGTCAAGCTTCTTAAAATTATACCTGAAGTCAATACCTAGATCTGAGAGAGAGGCTAGGTTTCTCTTCTCATGATGCATGATCTTGATGATATCTATGGCCAGCTAGCTGTGTTCCAGGCAGATGAGATAGCCGTATAAATGGCTGTGGGTCAGTGATGAAATCTGAAGAAGGGCTATCAGCCCATATGCCTATATGACTATGGAAACTGTACAACTTTGGAAACTTCTCAAAGTAGAGATAATTTCTTCTTTATGTTATCTATATTCTTTATGTTATTTTCTGTTTAAGGTTGTTCTGGAAAGTTAGGCATGGAGATGGTGGCCCTATCTGTTGTCTATGGATATAGTCATTCATTCAGTCATTCAATATCCTTTATTACAAACCTCTATGTGCCAGGCATTGTTATGAGGATACAAAGATAAATAAAACACAGTTCCAGCCCTTGAGAAAATTCACTGTAAACAAGTATAGCTTATGATGATAAGTGCTAGCATAGGGATGAGGACAGAAGTGCCTAAGCCAGATTTTGGTTGGGGAGATTTGTAAGGGCTTTCAGGGGCTGGCTCTGCTACATCTAGCCTCTAGGAGGAGAGGTTAGGACTGGATGATTCAGAGGGGAAGCCTGAGAAAACTTGTAAGGGAGAAAAAGGGTGAAAATAGAGAGCCAGGTGGTCCCAGACTGCTTATCACAGGGCCCACCCCGAGGAAGAGCTCCACAAACATTGACTGATTGGGTGATAACACTTCTATTACTTCAATTACATTAAGAACATTTTTCTTCTACAGCTTGCAACAGAACTCATGACCACATTGATGTTTTAGAAAGGTTAGTTTTGAACTTTAGATGTTCTGCTCTGATGACCTACAGGTTGGGATCTTAGCCAAAAGTGACTATCTCCCTATAGGGCACAGGGCAGAATTCTGATCTTGATCCTTCATCTTGATCTTCATCTCCTTCAGACCAGGAGAAGATGCTAATCACATTTGTGCCTAATGCTCAACACTGTTTTCTTTCTCCCACATCATTTCCCATCAAAACTCTCTAGTTACGTGAATGACAAATCAGACCTACATCCATTTCTTCTTGATGAGGCTGCATTAGGTCCCAAAGATGCCCTTTCCCAGAGAAGCTGTGGTGTCAGGCCCAGTGGAGGCCTTGCAGTAAATGGAAACTCTTATAAATATATATATATATATGAATGTGTGCTCATTTTCTCTTTTTCTCTGGCTTTCCAATGAATGCTTGGCCTGATTCTCATTCTCTATTCATCCCAAAGATCTGCCTACCATGTTCATACTGCCTGGGCTTCACTGCAAGGTTGCTCTTAGAATTTCACAAGCAAAACTTATGAGGTCTTTGAGGCCCCTCAAGAACCCTTGATGACCAGAACACTACTTGCCTTTTGGGTTTTTTTAAAGGATCATAGATACATGAAATTCTAAGGTTGGACAGAGCCTTGAAGACTATTTAGTACGAAACTCTTATTGTACAAATGATGAAATGGAGCCTTAAAAAAAAGAAATGTCTTGTTTGTAAGGTGAGTTGGTGGCCATCCTAGGAATAAGTTAGAGTCTCTGGATTCTTGATCTGATGTTCCTTCTACTATAGCATGCTACCACTATGTGATGATTTCATTCCTCTTTTAATTTATTGGGAATGCAGGGTAATTTAAATTCCTTTGGCACTTCTATACAACAGGCTTAGGTACAGGAGCATTAACAATAAAG